TGCTGCTAACAGCATTCCTTTAAACTTTTTTTTACTCTTTCACCACTCCTCTATATGAAAACTATTTTGACTACGAAAATCTATGAACCAAACAAAAAAATGTGGACATTTGTCGTGGTGACTCGCGTAACTTTTCCTCTGCTGTTTTCACAGAGCAGCTCCTTTTACCACTGGATCACTGAAAAACTATGCTGAGGTTTTTAAATCTAAACTTAAGACCTGTTTTTTTTCTCGCTAACTTTTAAATATTTACTGTATCTTGTCAACCTGCTATTTTATTGAATATTGCACTCCCTTGCTTTGCCCTAAATTTGTAAATTTCTACATTATACTGTCTGTGTATTTACTGTTATTCATGCATTTTCTGTTTTCAATTTGATTAATTGTCATTTATTTACATTTTTGCATTTTATTATGTGGTTGTAAAGTGTTTTGAGACATCCTGGTGTGAGACCACACTTTAAACAAATTTGAATTGGATTACTGTAATCTGGATTATAATGGAGTAGCATGTGGCTGTATTATAATCTGAGAATGAAAGAATGAGCCACAGGAAGTGTACAGTAGATACAGAATCAATTGTTTATGTGTGTGTTTACGGCTCTGTATTCATTCAAATCTACCTCCTCCAGATGAGCAGTCCCACTCCCATGGAGAGCAGCATGATCAGGGCGGCCACTGAGACGACGACAATAATTACCACCGGGCTCTGTTCACTAGATGCCAGTGCCACTGGAAATGACAAAATACACTCAAGTGAACAAAAGCACACACCTGAACTGAAGTGGGTTCACAACAGTAATTAGTCAGTGATATTTGTGTACTGTGCTGTACATGCTCATCATTACACCATAACTTAACACATCAGTATGCATGTATATGCATATCAAATGTATGCATATGCAAGTCTATTATAGTCTATCACAACCTTCTCTACATTATTAATACTCTCAGTTGACCCTCTCATATGATACTATTTAAAACATTTACACATCCTCAACACCCTTTGGGGAGAAACCTCATATCTACTTTACAGGAAATGAAAAAACACCTGTATCTAAAATAATTCAACATCACAATTTCAAAGTTGGTATTGTGTCTTTATATGAGGTTTTGCTGACAGTTATGAGATTTAGTCACAGGCTCTTCTTATGTTTCATTGGTTAAATGTTTGTAAAACCCACAGACAGACATAAACGGTGATCAATAGCATCAATGTATGAAAAAATAAAAAAGGCAAAATGTAGACATACGAGGTTTCTGCCCGACAGCGACAATATATTCAGCTTCACAAAACAGACTCAAAGGAAAAGAAATAATATGACATCTTGTGTTTTTGTAATGCACAGTATAATTTTATTAGCTGACGCTGTAGTAAAACTAATGGTAGTAGTAAACTAAAACTGCACTGACAAAAAGATCTCAATTTAAGATCCATTTAGCAGGGGTGAATCTAGAAAATTTTGGATGGGGTGGCCAGGTTGGGGCACAAGCTCAAAGAGGGATGGCACATTTGAAATACATGTAACAAGTAAATTAAGCCCTTAGTTCTATGAAAGTAAACATTATTAAGCATCAAATTGTTTATTATGAGTAAAAATGAGACACACATATTGCTTTTCTTTAGCCAACTGTGGCTATGCTCCTTATTTAATCCCAGCTGGGGACATCGCTGCTGCACAGCGGCCCCCCTCAACAAAAAATGACAAGTACTTCATAGCATGCATGCATTATATAAACTAAAACAAATGACCTATATCAGTTATAAAGCACCAGTTAAATCAACAAATTGTCATAGCTTTTCATTCATTAATAGTGACAAGCATCATGTTCTGACTCTGGCAGGGATGGCCAGTACCACCCCGGCCGCTCCCTGGATCTATCCATGCCATTTAGTAGCTGCTCTGGTGCTTTCACTCACATTACATTATCTTCACTGGCAGATGGGCAGATGTCAGTACTACAGAAGTTCTTGGCTGAGAGAGACGAGATCATGGAGTAGCCACTAGTCATCTTCACAAGGAGGAACAATAATCGTAAGCAACTCCATGTAAACACTAATCAAAAATAAACAGACAATAAATGTGTACAAGCTTGTAAAGATTTTTCTCCCCTTTGTATTGCAGCGGTCCACCTGCCAACTTTCCTGCCTGCTTACAATCAATCTACAGATTGTTATGTGCCTAATGCATAATTCTCTTGGCAGATAAATGCTGTAATAGTGTGATTAGGGTTTTGAGTATCTGCCTTTGGTACACGGCCACTAGAGGTTGCTGTGTTGTTGTTTTGTGAGAGTGTCGGGTCATTTTTTATTTGACTCTTGATCTAGCCTGAAGCAAATGTAGAAAAGTGAATGTGCAACATCCAAAAAAGTTATTGCGCTACTAAGACCTCTCCCCCTAAAGCAAACAAAAGAAGTGTGAAACCCCATCTGCTTAAAATAAAAAAAAATAAAAAACAATTTCTGGTAGAGCTGGTCTTTGGCCAACTTTAAAAGATAGTGGTTGTGAATGGCAGATCTGAGGTGAATTGAACTGTGTAAAAAGTGAAGCAGTCCAACAATATAAGTTCAACAAACCTCTTTCCTGGATAATTAAAGATTCAAAGCAAAGCATTTGTAAAAAAAAAAAAAAAAAACACACAAGCTATGAGACATACACTGACACAAAGACACACAGGGAGTCCCAAAAAGACCCTTAGGTGGCACAAGGGACATGATATCAACTTGCACAACCATTTCACAGCTTGCAGCTAAAATCTTGAATCTTCACACATAATCTCAGACACTGTCACACCCCTTCCTCTCTTTCTGTCCCTGTCTCTCGCACTCCAGCAGCACGCCTCATTGTGTGGGCTGGCCTAGTGCCTATACAAACCTCCATCCCAATCTGCCTGGCGGTGCTAAGAGCAGGGAGTGAAGAAACAGGAGAGGAGGCGTAAAACGGCTACTCACACTCGCCAAGTGTCTGCAGCTCCAGGGGAGTGCTGTACGCGCCATAGTCGATGGGCGGCGGAGAGGAGGAGGAGGAGGACGATGATGATGATGATGAAGAAGAAGAAGAAGAAGAAGAGGAAGATGATGAAGAAAAGGAGGAAGAAGTAGAAGATGAGGAGGAGGAGGAAGAGGCAGAGGAGGAGGATGAGAGTGGGGAGGATGACAGGGAAGAGGAGGGGGTTGGTGTGGAGAAAGGGCGGATAAGGAAGACATATGTGGTGCCAGGTTTGAGATTGTTGACACTGATCCGTGTGGCTGCGGTCTTCACAGTAGAATAACTCTGATCCTTTTGTTCCTGTGGACACAGAAAGCGAAGTGAGAGACAGAGGAAACAAAGAAAGAGAATGAAGGAGGGAGATGAGGAGGTGGAATCCATTTGTGAGATGCCTTGTTCATTTCCACGGCACAGTTTGTAATGCTGGGGGATGTGCGAGACAATTTAGAAACAGAATCAAAGGCTTTGGTAATATTTCATTTACTGAGAGAGAGGAGCAGCGTTTCAAAGAGTCACAAAGTTTTACAGAGTCAGATGCTTTTCCAGGCGAAGCTGAGTTAGACTTTTCAATTAAGAAGCATCAGTCGGCACCTTCGGAAAAAACACCACAATAATAAAAGCATGACTTTAGTCATTAGAAAGGTCTTTGGGAAAATAATCAACGCTGGTGCTCATATGTTTGTGGGAATGAGTCACATGTTGCACAAGTGGGCACAAAAAGGCAGTGAGTAGGTGACACACAATAACATAACTGCTCTACTTGTTGACTGATACTTTGCCTCTTTTCCCATACCTGCCTTAAAATAACCCTCACTGTACTGTACTGTACTCTGCATGTCAGTAAGATCACTCCAAATGAGGGTGAGCTTGTAAAACAAATATGAGCATAAATCTGATTTTCATGCCAAGTTACTTGCTAAACATCACTATATTAACATTGCACTTGTTAGCATACTGATGTGGGGTTCAACTAAAAGCACAGCTGTGCATAGGCACAGCCACACAGAGATGCTAGCATGGCTCTAGACCCTTAGCTTTGTTCAGATGTGCCCAAGAATGGAGCTGCATGATGAAAGACTAAATAAAGTAGAAAATCGTCTAAACAGAGGGACACAGGCAGGGGGAGTGGCAGCTATTGTATAACAAGCAACGCCTGTGGAGTGTGCTAATATGTTACAGACAGGACAGATGAACAGAGCAGGATGGAGAGGACTGAAGGAGAAAAGATGGCATTCTCAGAAAAGACTGGTGGGAGGAAAACAACAGCACTCAGACAACACTTGTAATCATCACTTATGAATAAACTGTTTAGTCATTATCATCGTTAGTCATTACTATAAACTACAGCATGTTATTTGTTATCCAGATAACTTGTGTCAGAGTGTTATCAAATGTTTAACTATTGATTAAAAAAAAACACAAGTAAGCTCTATAATATGTGGATTCATAATGTAAAGCTGCACCTTCACTGATCAGCCACAACATTAAACCTAGTAGCAGGTGGCTGCATAGCTGCAGACTGGTCAGACTGCCCATGCCCACCCCGTCCTCCGCTGAAAGTGCCTACATTTGGCATGTAAGTGTCAGAATTGGACCATGGAGCAATGGTAGAAAGTGTCCCAATCAGATGAATCACATTTTCTTTTACACCACGTGGATGGATGGGTGCGTTGCCTGGCTGGGGAAGAGTGGGCACCAGGAAGATGGCAAGCCAAGTATACCCCTTCATGGCTAAAGCATTCCCTGT